AATCTTTGCTTAAAATTTACAACTTGAACAACGTAATTTGAACCCAGCTTATTCTTTTGTTTTCTATTTCATGTTTATTCCTCGCCTAACTTTTGAAGCACTTGATAAAAATGAATTACACTTATATTATTCGATTTGTTAAGAGAATACGAGTAAAATGATATATAAAACATAAGTGTGCTCACAAATTTGAAAATTACAATTTTTTTTCTTTTTGAGAGTGTACCTATTTTTTAGATTTGCCCATATACATGCTTCCCTATTATTTTGTTTGGTTTAATGTAAATTCACGACATCCGTCAACTTTCAGTCATTTCATTTCTGCCTTGCGTTACGTATACGACGCGTTGTACACAGAAGGTGAAACCTTCAAAATCCCACATTATTAGCTTAGTGGTACACACTACATACTACCTTCACTTCGCCGCTGCAAATAATTTACATTCTCAACAATACTCTATGGCTTGGTGCTACATACTCGTACTTATAAGCATTTTATGTATGTATGTATGTTTTGTTGGGGCTTTATGTATATCATTTACATATTTGTTTGTTCATGTGCCTCGAAAACATATTCCAGCTGCGGATTACGCCTTATCATAGCTAAGAGCACTGGCGCTTGTAATACTGAGCGCACTGTAAAGCTACTTTATGACTTGTAAATGTTAAGCTCAAAAGAAAAACATGCTTAAGACGACTTTATGCGCACTTTGCCAGCGTGGCATTAGTAGCAGCATAAAAGCTATGCAGCTGAATGAAGCTCTGCCATGAGGATGACAAAATGGCGAGGGCGTGGCTTTGTTTGGAAAAAGCGCATTTGCGGTCAAGGTTAAGAAAGAATGTATACATAACTGCAGTTGGTTACGGTTCGAAAAATTAATGACAGATATTTTTACTTTCGTGCTTTTAGCAGTGCTATTGCTTCGCCATTTGAACTCTTCCATTTAAATTTCTTTTAAAATATTTTGCATTGCATTAGCAAGTGTCCGGTGCTATGATACTATATTCCTGTGAAACTTTGCACCACCCTGCATCTAATCGTCATTCATCATTGTCACAAAAATGAAGGTCCCAACACCATCAATGCCACCGAAGCACATTGACAACTGCAAAACCAATACAATCATCATTAAAATCAGTAGCAGCAGCAGCAGCAGCAACACCCACACTCACACTCATGCATACATACTTGCCCAGTCGCCAAACACAACAATAGTGCTCTGCTATCACTCTTTACTGCAGTGTCGCAACATGACGACTACCATCATCGTTATCATCTTATGCTTGCTTAAACTACAACAACAATAGCATACCATCAGTCAGTCTATTTATTGCAGCAGTTGCTGCATTGGGAAAAAAAACACAACTATACATAGCTCATTGGTTGCATGCACGCTCGTGTTCACTCGCGCTCATCGTTCCCTTGCTGACCTCGCCCTGGCCGTAGTACGCTGTCAATTTCACTCGAATGCAATATTTCAGTCATCCATCTTCAATAATTCCGAAAACCATTTTAATAAACAAAAATACAAAAACAACTGCAACACACAATAAAGAAGCATGGATACATATATACGTATGTACGTATGTATGTAAGTTTGTACGAGTACTCTATACAGTGCAATGAGTGGTAGCTATGCTTCGGCGTCTTAAATAGTAATACATAGTGGATGGATTGGAAGTTATTTGTATGGCATAATGAATGAATGAGCGAATGAATGCATCGCATAGCTGGATAAATTGAGGAGGAATGGCTGGCTATAAAGTGCTTTTCGAGCAATGCTGCCAAACATTTGGCGCTGTCCTTTTTTTGACTTAAAGAAAGCGAGTACAACAGCGAAGCGAATAAGTGATAAAATACTTGAGTATCGGGCAGGATTGGAGAAAAAATAAACAAATAAAAAATGCAAGAACAATTCTTTTATCTAGGTCGAGATGGACGGCATCTTACAAAATCTGGAAATGTGAATTTTTTTAGAATTTTTAAAGAAGCAAAAAGCTAAACCTTTATTTGTCTGTTGAGTTTTAAAGTGGTTATATGTGTGTAATTCTATTCGGTAGAACTCAGTTTCGATTTTTGATCTAATATATATATGTATATGCACGTTTGTTGTTCGCGCCTCGGCGTCAACTATTCCAAGGCAAAGGGTAACGCAGGTCCTACAATTTGTGTGGCAACACCATGTCGAGAGAAACAAATTGAAGGAAAAACACATTAAGAAATTTCGTCAAAGAAAAACGCTTTTATTTCATTTTTTATGTCAGATATGGTAAAATTGAAATTTTTAAAATTTCACCGAATTCGGTGAAAACTATTCAGCCTTATCATGAGTTTCATTTTCACTTTTCAATTTTTGTTTCCATGTATTTAATATGGGCGGATGAAAAATATTCGGGTGGGTTTTTGTAGTAAAGAAATTTGAGCCAAAGTCGATTTAATTTCAGCACTGTATTAAAATCTATCCACGTCGAAAGTCGCCATTAATAATCGCATGAAAATTTCCACCAACTAGTTCATATTTTCGGTAAAAAATTAATTTTTAGAGGCACTTTACTTGGTAATAGTCCAGACCTTGAATCACATTGATTCAAAATAAACCACTCTGGTCTCCGAATTATATTCTCTACAAAGAAGTTTTATTTCTATATACACTCAAACTTCGAGACCACTTTCTATATACATATGTAAGTATTTATATAGTTACTCGTAGTAATTAAATTGTAATCAACACTTCGCTCCACTGTGCAACATCGAAAAGCAATCCTAACGCGCTGCAACACTTGAATGGTGTCCGCAAATACTTGAAAAAACTGATGGAAAAAATTGCTGTTGATTTTATTGCTTGCCAGTTTTGAGTGTCTTGCTATATATATCTCTTCTGCGCTTTGTAATTTTCAATGCCAATATAATTGTATTTTGTCCACTTTCCTTCCAGCTGCTTCCACTATCGCTAGTTGTTCTCGCTTCATATTGCATTCAATATTTTTATATTTTTATTTTGCACTTTGCTAATTCTTATAGCTTCACTGCGTTCGAGTTCAACTGAATTTATTAGTTGCCTTCTGTTATTGACTTCATTCGTAAAAGTCAGAGCCTTAATCATAAATGCGCAAATATTTATTTTGCACTTAATGAAAGTTCAATATTTTGCCAACAGTTGTATGAAATTGTATAGTCGCTGAGGGAGAGTGAACCTTATTTTATATTAAGCAAATAGTACATAAGTACTCTACACAAACCTTTTCTAATTGGAAATTGTTTTTTTTTTTTTTAGTTTTCATAAGGCTTGTCTTGCCGAATTTCTTACCATCGCTGTCTTAATATCAGCTGTCATTTCTTAGTTTGACAACTCAGTTTTCATTTTATCGCACAATTTGCATTAGGTACAGATCGATCTGATTGGCTTGATGCCATTTTGAAAGTGATATGTTAAAATAGCAAGTTGCCCACATGAGAAAACAGGCAAAGGAAAAACAGAAATTTGACAGATGTTAAAACACATTTAGTAGAAGGTGGAGACGTGGGGTTAAGATACGCGTAAGAACTGCCACACTTAAAAATCCCCAACTTTGGCATTTTTTGTAAATATTTACTTTTTTAAATACTTTTGTCACTTGAATTCTGCCGAGTTACGTTGGGCTGTCATTTTGTGCTGATAAATGTAAGGCCAGTGTCACACGATTGGTACATTTGTACAGATTTGTACATTTTTATATTGTACTATGTACAAAATAAAAAAATTTTGGCCGATTTTTTTTTTTTGTAGTCCCACGATTGGTACAAAACAGCGAACTTCTATTGAAAATTTGAACAAAATATTTTTCGTGATTGAGATAAAGAAAAATATTTTTGCTTTCACACGAACGGGATAAAATTTGCACCAAATTTAGGACAAATGCCCAATCGTGTGACACTGGCTTAAGGCAAACAGCTAAAAGTTAAAAATTTTTAATTTCGTTCCTTAGCAGGGGTTAACTGTGTCGTTAGTCATAATCTCCAAAATAGCAGCTACAACTTCTACTGCTCAGACTTTGCGGCTTTTTCCATTTTTCCTAAAAAAAAAAAAATCATGGTGTATAGCGCGATAACATTGTTTAAATAAATAGTTATCATAACACCTCAATAATAATAATAATAAGAAAGAAAATAATTTTTGACATCTTCTCTCAAGAGAAATTTTTACTCTCTACTGCTCTTATAAAGCAACGAAGGCTTGTGCCTTATAATGAGACATCTGAGCATTTGGTCCCTAAGTGTTCATACAGCAAGCTTTTTCAGAAGCATTTTGGAGCTGAAAGCAATGCAGTTTTTGATTTTGATTTTTCCATTTAATTCTTCAGCTTCAGCAAGATATTAAAATATTCAAATAGAAACGAATTTTTCAATTAGTCTTTTAAATAAAATTGTGGAAATATTCGCTTTGTTCCGCTTTGCTTCGCTCGACGCTGTTCGGCTTACTGTATGAACGCACCCTAATTCAGCGATGCTTTATTGCCGTAAATTACAAATTTAAAATTTCATAAAAAGGAAAAAATCTTTACAAATCACCTTGCAGAAGGGTATCTGAGCTTTTTTAGAAATACCAATATGTATTGAATATTATTTTTTTAGCGTTAATGGTCGACTTCATTACCGCATATTTCGTACCATCTTCAAAAGAGGCACAACTCAAAAATCAAATCCGTAAATATAACTGCTTGTGAATGGTACTGATCCAACGCAATTAATACAAAAACAGATATAACGGTATTTTTCTAGTTAGAGAATATTATCAAGAAGAAAAAAATATTTTCATTAATTGCAGATAAATCTTACGAATTGATTTTACCTTATTTTTTTTAGTTGTGCCCCTTTTGAACATGGTATGCGAAATGTCCCAGCAGTCTCTTATTTTCCCTCCGCCTTCTTGTACAAATTTGCCAACAATTTTTTGTATGCATGTACATACGTGTCCTTATAATTTTTAATATTCTCTTTTTCTATCCTTCGCATGCGACAGGTCAAAGAAGATTGGAAATACGTGGCCATGGTATTGGATCGTCTATTCTTATGGTTATTTACAATAGCCGTTGTCGTTGGTACGGCCGGAATAATATTGCAGGCGCCGACGTTATACGATACGCGCGTACCAATCGATATTAAATTGTCGGAAATTGCAACGACAACAGCGAAACCGAGCATTGCCAAACCTGTGTTATAAAAACAAATTGCAAAGAAACAACTACAACAAAAACAAAATAGAAAATAACACAACAACAAAAGTAACTAATAAGATAAATGAAATATAAAGTAACAAAAACAACAACCAAAAATTGCTTAAGGATAAAAAACAAATAGAAATAGAACTAAACGAAAACATAAATATACAAAAAAAAAATAATAATTGGAAAAAAACCATTTATAAAAAGTGAAATGCAGCAAGCCAAGCGGAATGTGATGAACATAAAACCGCGAACAGCAATGAATGGCTATTCCACGAAGATGGACTTACAATTCTGAGTAGGCACTAAATTAACGACAACAGCAACAACAAAAACACAAACTAAATATGTAAGTTATTATAATGCATTACTACTAGTTACTACTTATACAAACAAACTACTAATGTACTAACTAATAAATAATAGAAACACTAATACTACTACTAATACAGCAATAACAAATAACGATACTTGTAATGATAAATATGTACATTGTTTACTAACAATTAAGTACATACATCACTAACTAAAGCAGTTAATGAGAATAAATTAACATTGCATGGTTACTTCATGTACAGAGCGAGCGATTAATGCCAAATGAGAAATGTTTGTATGTATACTTATTTATGATTATTACATAAATACATATTTATGAGTTAAGTCAGAACTGGAGGCAGTGTATCATAGTCGTAAGTAGGTAAATACCATTGGCATTATAAGAGAACCCCCAAAGCCACTACATACACACCTACTATGTACATAGATTTGTAAATGAAGTTGTGTATAAGAACTAAACGAAAGCAAGTAGCAATGATTAGCAGGCTGACAGCTTTTGAATGAATACAAATTCTGAAGCACTGCCCCAGGTGCGCACTACAAATGCCACATTATAATTGTAATTATATTGTTACCAATAAGTATGTAAGTTATTTATATGTACATATTTATACATATATAAAATACGAGTATGATTCTAGCATGCGTGCGTGATTTGATACGAGGGTTGTTGAAATTTGCAGTCGTTTTTAGTATCGGGATTTTGATTTCCAAAAAAACGGGACTGGACCCGAAGCTTAATTTTCTTTAATATTTAAACTCAAAAACACAGTGTTTCTAGAATGAAGTTTTTACAGAAAAGGTTTCTGTATTTTTTATACAATAAAACGGTTGTAGTTTTCGTTTCGGTGAACCGATTCAAACGAAATTTTAAAGAATTTTTTCCTGTAAGTAGGACATGGACCGATCTATTTGAAAAAATCGTGTTTATAGTCTGAAATGAAATTTGACACTGCGTACTCTAAGTTAGTATTTTCGGAAGAAAGTCAATACTTTACCTTCCTTCTAAACACGTTCACAACAATATTAATTAAGAGTTTTCGATGTGGAAATAATAGCACAAAAATACTAGAAAGGCGCAGCAAAGCTCACTGTGTATTTGCTAGTATTTTTTACCTTTAACTAAAAAATACTGAATACCTAAAATTAGTAAAGTGATTTTCAACCATCAAATACACAATGTTCCAGGCATACATTTTTTTTCCAAATTTAATTGATAGGTCTTTCGAAAATCTTCACTGTCGAAAAAGAAAGTCGTAAAATTGTCTAAAAACTGTCAGAGGCCATTAAAAGTACAATATATGCATGTAAATTAATTAATGAATTAAAAAATGGAAATCGCAGTATGCATTTTTAATAGCTAGCGGTATCATATTCAAAATTTGTCCATGAATGATACGATTTCATACTAAACATAACTTCTCTGGCAGCTTTTCGATTAGTACGCGTCAAAGATGTACACCAGCTTAAGAAAATAAGCCTTAGTTTACAGCGTGTCTTCGATAAAAGCAAAAACACAACCAGACGACTTAACATGTAAAAAGTTTTTATGTCCCTGATTCCGTTACAGCGCATCTCATAAAATTTCAATTTGGTCTATTTCGTTCCCCTAACTTCGATTGTGAAAAAGGAGCACCGCTCTGGAAGTCCAATCGTCGGAAAATGTGGATAAAATTATGGCCAGGCACACAGACAGTCACTCGTCGGAAGCTCTGGCAGCTTGCTTGAGACACTCTTATGTATCTGCTTTATTGTTCGAAGCTGGAACAAAGCGATCACCACCTACTCCTGCCTATGGTGAACGATTTTGGTAGAGAAAAAATGTGCCTCAATGGACACTTGTGAAATTAGAAAACGCACTTCCGTGAAAGAGGATTAATGGAATTACCTTCAAAATGGCAAAAGTTTCTACAGTAAAATAAAAATATACGCTTAATTTCATAACCCACAAGTATTGTAATTTGCTTCGGCCTTAGTTTAACAAATTTTATCTTACTAGAGCGACCACTCTGCACTGATTTGAGATCTAACTCTGAACTGTCAATAAGCCCAACAGTCTGTATTCAATCCTTTCTTATGCGCAAAGAGTTGGTAAAACCCGAAATACAAAAATTTGCATCCCTAGTTGGCACAAATAAAACAACAATGCATACCAAGTTTAAGTGTCTTGCCCACCAATTCTCTCTCGTAACTCGTACTAACATAAATTTTCTTTTTACTCCTGCTGTAAACATACAATACAAATAGGTAAATGTATCCAATTGTTGTCATATTTCGTGCTCGGCTATTTGCCATAATTCAATGCAAATTTTATGCTTCAGGTAAACAGTTTATGGGCATTTATGCTACGAGTACTAAGCTGTTATTGTGTTACTTCTGTATTTATTTAGCTCATTATTTGCTAGAGATTTTCTCAAAATTATTTTTGCTAGAAAATTGATGCCAAAACGTTACATTTGTAGGTATTTATATGCACATTGCAAATTAGTAGCTTATATAGATTTATTTGAGTTGTACATGTACATATTTATGTTAGTTCTGATATTGTCTAATAAACCTTGCAGGAAATGGGACTAGTTTGTAGCTAACTATTAACGAACTAACAGTCGACTAGTGGCTGTAACTAACTACTTTGGAAGGGCGATGGCCGCAAAATATTGATCAGGTGGTTTCCTCTGCATTAGATGTCAACTAACTTGTAGCTAACTACTTTTGGACATAAACTATCAACAAAAAAAAATTTTTAATTTTGTTTTTTTCTTTTTATTTAACATTACATATTGACTTATCTGGGTACATGTTCTTTCGTAAGTGATCCCACATTTGAATTCCATCAGACATAACATCAAAATGATAATGTAAAATAACGATATTTATTTTGTCTGTCCTGAATTCGAAAAATAATCTGCGAAGTGCAGAAATAAAGAGTATTGAAAGTATTTTTTGTAGGAGGATATTTAAATAGAAACTTGAAAAGAAAACAACCTCCCGATAACGTCTGCATGACTCCTTACAACTAATTTAAAGTTAGTTATTTATCGAAATCTCGCAAAAAAGCTGACTACCAGTTGGTTATTTCAATCAAGTGATAATTTTTTTCTGCAGGGAGTTGTTAGAAATTTGTCTTCAATTCATCTCGTAAGATGATGTATAGCAAATAAACAATAGTACAATAGAGTTCAGCATTACATTTGGACATTGCTTGCGAATATTAGGTTTGGATAATACATACATATGCAGCCGGGCTCCCATTTCCACGTACTTTTGCGATTTGCGTTTTTGTAAA